GCTTGACAGATGATTTCACTTAGGTGTTTCACTGCAATGTCTGCGCTGGAAGTATTTAATATATTTTTGGGAATAATTAGATTTTTTGTAATATGTTGTTTAAATTTTTTCCAATCTGGTTTATCGGTGATGAGTTTACCGGTGGGAGTTGAAAACGATAACGACGCATCTATTGTAATTTTTACTGGTAAATGGTCCGAGTCGAGTTCAAAAAGTGGTTTTTGATGAATTGAAAAACAGATTGATTTTTGTAAGGTTACATCTAAAATATCAGGACTTCTGTTTTGATCATAAGGATAATAGGTGGGTGTGTCTGGAGCTGACAATATCGTATTGTTGTTTGTGAGGTATTTATAAAGTTTGCGTCCATTTGCATTTGTTGTTTTACAATTCCAAGTTGTGTGTTTACAATTTAGGTCGCCTACTAATAATATTTTTTGATAGCTTTTTAAAATTTTGTCGAAGTCGTTAATATACATTTGAAAGCTAGGAGATTGATAAGCACTGATTATTGTTGTGATTGAACGGTTTATTGTTACAGATACAGCGACTGCTTCGAGCATTTGTAAGGTAGGTAGATATGTTTGTTGATGTTTTATTTTGATTTTGATTATAATGGCAACGCCACCCGAAGGTCGAACCGCTTTCCTATCTTTGCGGTAGATGGAATAACCGTTAAATTTGATTTTATCGGTAGTAATTAGATGCGTTTCGCTCACACATGCAATGTCAACATTATGTGCTGATAAGAACGCTGCGAATGCGTTACGATTTTTTTTTATTCCATTGGCATTCCAATTTACGATAACTAGTTTGAGATTATTTATAATATTAGACGACATTTATATTATTTAAAAGAGTAGGTAGATTTTCGATGACTTTTTTGATTATTTGTGAGACAAGTGAGCTGATTAAGAGCATAATTGTCTTAATAAGCTCATCAGTGATGTTTGAGTTATTTAATTCTCCATTTAGCTGTAGATTAGTTTTTTGTTTTGTTTTTTCAGCATAGGATGGAATGCTGTTTATGTTATGAGTTATTTGGTTTGGAACTTGATTTTGAGGATTTATTGTACCAGTATTAGACATGACTTGAGAATATTTATTATCATTTATACTGTTCTGTTGTATAATGTGTTTAGGAGCGTTCTTGAATAGTTTAGAGTTGTTAGATTTATTTTTTACTTGTTTGTATATTTTACAGCCTCTGTAATTTGCAGGGTGATTTTCATTACAGTTAACACATATTGGTGGGCTATTTTTATCCTTAGTACATTCAGAGTAATGATGATTTTCTAAGCATTTTACACACCTAGGGGGGAGATTGCAGAAGTTTTTTGTGTGTTGAAAACGATAACAGTTTTTACATTGTGGTATAGTCAGTGCTCGAATTGGCCAAAAATAAGTAGGGGAGCTCAACTTAACAATTTGAAAACTGCGTCCATAGTATTTTGAAGACCTTTTTTTTTCTTTTCTCATTTTATTTAATTGTTAAGCTATAATAATACTTTGTATTAAAAGCTAATAAAAAAAAAAAAAAAAGTAATTTTAAAATATATAAATTAATACATGTGAATAACATACAAATCATTTTGATATTTTATATAACTTCATTATATTTTGTTTTTAAATTTAAGATTTGGGTTGACATATTATTTTTTTATTAAGATAAAAGTAAAAAAGAGCTGACAAGTATTATTTATAAGTTGAATCGTGTGTAATATAGCATATTAAGCTATTTATTTAAATTATTTGTTTTAAAAAAATCATGTTATTTTAAGCATATGAATAAAATTTATAAATAAAAATGTTAATAATTTTAAATGAAAAGATTAAATGAACGACCATTATTGTGGACATGAACAGAGTAGCCCACTGTTATTTCATATTATGATGACGAAGTATATTATGACACTCATGTAGAGTACTTTTCGTGTATTATTTGCCCCAATATTTCTCTGAATACTAAAAAAAAGGAAATAGACAAAAATATTATTAATTGATTAAATGTAACTAGATATCAGTTCTTTAATTAATACACTAAATTATTTAGCTTGATAAATTAATGAAATAATTTTTTATCAGCTATAACTTCTTAATGATAATAATAAAAATAAGAGAATATATCCGCTATTTTTATGTATCATCACTCAATTTAATTGTCACTATATACAAATATATATTTAATATTATAAATAAATAATGATTTCATATTTTAAAGTTTTTTTTTTTTTATGTCTGTTGCTACTTTTTCTCAGCTCTCCTGGACTGATTTCTTTCAACAATACGTCAAAAGATTACAAATTGTATCTAGTCGAAGACATTACCCTCAAAATTTGAAAAATTTTCCTTATAAAAAAAAAAAAGTAGCTAAACCAGCTTATTTCATACAAACAATTAAAATTATTAATTTCTAATATTCTTAAAGTATTTATTGTCGAATTATATTTGATATGATAAAAGTATTCAACTACAAAAGTAAATCATTTTACATTGTATATTTAGTAATTCTTCAAATCTATTTGTGTGTGCTACTACCAGTCTATAATATTCCAAATATTTTTGTAATATGTTGCTATATAAATCATAAATTAAAAAAAAAAAATGATTTTTAGTTTCACCTGAATTTAACAATGGATTTTTACAATTATAATCAAATTTTATAATACGTTCAATTGAGTAAATCTTTTTAACAACTTTGTTTTCATTGGTTCATTTAGTTAATGTAAATCATTAAAATTAATTAAGTTCTGAATATTTCCATTGTAGAATCTTTTTAAACACCAAAAGTTATTTGGAAATGATTACTATTATTTCTATTTCAGTTATCTATTACGATAAAAATGCAAAAAAATTGAATTTTTCAGAAAAATAAACAGTAAATAGTAATTATAAAATTCCCTGATTGCATATTAATCTTAATACTGTCAATTTCAAACTTGCTAGTTGAGCTAAATGTTATGGTAATAAATTAATTTTGTTTTTTATTAAAACTTTCACTTTAAAGGACAATAAAAAGTAGGTTAAAAAAGGTTACTTTTAACTTATTAAAAATCAAAATCAATAATAATTTGAAAACAATTAATTTTAAAAAATATATAATTAATAGAATTACTAATCTGGGTATAATTAAGGGAATAGAAGTTGATGTTGCTTTTGTAATTATCTACCAATTTTTTTAGAATTAAACATTATCTACAGATTTGCATCGAAGCGTTTCTTATGATAGTGATTTTAATCACTGTCAGATATCATCTATACTTGTCCCAACTATGCAACGTCTCCACTATGCCTCGACCTCACTGTACTGGGTTGGGTTGGGTTTTTTTACTAAAAACTGTCATAACTTTTTCAAAAATGAACATAACAATATAATTTTTTTTATAGATGCTTGATGTCTTTACCTATCATTTAGTATATTTTTTTCATAAATTTATCCCTTTACCTGCTCACAGGGAGGAATTTAAAATGACAACTTTTTCAACTTAATTTTTGAAAGTGTACTGAAAGATCTGACACTTTTATAAATATCTTAAATTAAAGGTAATGTAATATACTTTAATTTGAAAAAAAAAATTTGACCTCTGGACTTATCTTCGTGGTGAAAATGGACATCAAAGTTAAAGAAGAACGTACGATTTCCGTGAAAAAATTCTCGATTTTATATTTTATATAACTTTTGGAAAAATGTATGGATCAATATTATTATTTTCTTATAATAAATATTTATATACCCCTTTCATCTGCCACGCTTTTTTTGTAATCATACCCCTTTAATAAGGGGGGTCAAAACTTTAAACATGCTTATTGTTACTAGGATATTTTCAATTTAATTTTTGAAAGTATTCCGGACATACTGACACTTCTATATATATCTTAAATTAAAGCTTATGTAATATACTTTAATTTGAAAAAAAAAATTTGACCTACGGATTTGTCTTCATGGTAAAAATAGACTACCGTATTCAAAAATATGTTATTTTTGTGTGTAAAATTCTGGGTTTTGTATTTTATTTTATTTTAAAATATCTGACAAAGGGAGTACAGATTTTCATAAATATTCTATAAATAAAAAATTGATATAACATAGAAAGTTAAACTTATTTAATTTATTTTGCTTTTTCCAGTCCAGAAAAATAATTTTGAAATTATTTAGCGACGTACGGTTGCGGAGTTGGTAAAAATTGTGTTTTACTAGCTTGGGGTACGAGGTTCCAACCCGCGTATGGCAATGAATTTTTTGCATTTTTTGCATTTTTTCTTAATTCTTTTTTAGTTAGAATAAATTTTCAACTGCTTTGATTTTTATCTTATTTAGATTCAATAAAGATCAAGGATCTTATCATTGTAGTTGCCACTCGCGAGAAAAATTTTTTTATTCATATTAAAATTATTTTTCTAAATTTTAAGTTTTAGCTTCGATGCAAAGTTGAGAAGATATTTTTTTGTGACTATCATTTATTTTCTCTGCTCTAACTTGACCTATTTTTTTCAACGATACGTCAAATGACTACAATTCGTATCTAGGTTGAAGATTTCACCCTCAAAAATTGAAAAAAAATTCTAATTTATCAATGAAACAGTTAGTTATCCCATGTTCTCCATACAGACAATTAAAATCATTTATTTCTAATGTTTTCAAAATATTTATTGACAAATCAAGTTTGATATGATAATTTGATATGAAGGGTTTTAAATACAAAATTAAATCATTTTAATTTGTAATTTAATAATTTTTTTACTCTATTTGTGTGTGCTACTACTAGACATTATTATTTCAAATTTGTGGGTAACATATTGCTATATAAATCATTTATAAAAAAACGTTAATACAGTGGGGTCGAGGCATAGTGTAGACGAGGCATAGATGGGACAAGTATAGATGATATCTGACAGTGATTAAAATCACTATCATAAGAAACGCTTCGATGCAAATCTGTAGATAGTGTTTCATTTAGAAAAATTGGTGGATTAGTCCAAAAGCAACATCAACTCTTATTTCTTTGATTACATCCTAATTAGAAAGATATTACATTGACCTTAGATGGGTAGTATAAGTCTAAACAATTATATGAAATATTTATTTTACCATTGAAAGTGATATTTTCATTTTGACCTGCAAAATCAGTCATTACTTCAGTAACTTTAGAATCTTTAAGTTCGATTTTGCATTCTTTAAGAGCTTTGATTAATTCTGTTTTAGTCATCACATTATCTTTGAGGCAACTTTTATAAACATTATTAAAGATTTTCTCAACTATAACAAAAACCTTTGCAATTTGATCTAAAAATTGCTCTTTCGTCATATATCCAAGATCTTATTGAAATAAAAAATAAGTATTATCAATTCATTTTTATTTAAAAGTAAAATTTTAATATTAATAATATTATTATTCGAAATAATCAATAACCAACATTTATATGTTACTTTATATAAATAATTTATTATAATATTATAAATAATAACTTATACCAGATATTAATTTTATATTAAATAATCAAATAATACTTTTTAATTATTGTACCTATTTCTTTGAAAGATACAGTGAAAGATACATACATTAAATTCACAGAATAAGTTAAAAATGTATTTGTTGAAAATAAAAATTAATTTATTGAACTATAAGTAGAGTTTTACTTACGTTTCATATAAACAACATCATTGAAATATGCTTTAATTTGTTTATCATTTAGACAGTGTATGTGTTGAAATGATTTCAAAACCCAATAAAATTTTGGTAAACTCAATCCTTCTTCATCCTGCTTGACATTGTCATATAGTGCAGACATACGCAAACGGCCATTTTCAGTCAATTTTCCATTCTAATATGAATTTAATTATATAAGAAGTAAGAATAATATAGACTTAAATTCTCTAGATTTAATTGTAAAAAAATTAATTAGTTTAAAAAACATTAACTTTATTCCTATCATTATTTAGACCAGACCGAAAGGATCGGTTAAAAACCTAAACTCCTTTGCATATGCACAAACCCAACCTTGACCAATAGCTTAATAAAAAAATTTTTAAAGCTGGAATGGAACCGAAACTCAAATGAAAAAAAAATACATTTTAAGGTTTTTATAGTTATTAGTTAAAAATACACTTTTATAATCTAAATGATAATTTTTGAATTATAGATAGAATTTCATAAATGAAGTCGAAATCCATAAATGAGGTCGACGACAAATAAATAATGATATTAATATGAATTATTGTTCTAATAGTGACATATCGTGTCTTATTGGATATTTAAAAAAATTTATTATAAGTGTAAATACGAAAATGGCACGTCGTTCTCAGACAGTAATTTATACTTATTTATTTTATATTGAGGTAATGAAAAGTTTGAAATAATCTTTATAATTAAAGTATTTATTTTCTAACTCAATAATATAAATGCATATTATAAAGTAGAGTATATTTTAACATATAAAGTGGGCGGTATTCGTGCCAACTCGTAAAAAATCATTCTGACCTGGTGGTTAATCAATGTGCCTTGTTTACTGGTAAAATACAATAAATTAGCGTCTTCAAGACGTCTGCTAACGGGGTTTCCTTTTAAATATCTTTGAATCCCTTTCAACTTTATGATTAGAAAACTATGTTCATATTAATCTTTTTAGATATTTATAGTTTAAAAAAATGGTAAAAATTATAAATTATAAAAGCCTTTAGAACTAAAGAAATATATTGTATTCTTCCTCGTTAGTCGCAACATTGATATAGCTAAATCGTTAGTATTAGAGTCTAGTAATTTATCCAGAATTAATAACAGATTTTTCCTTAAAAAAATCCCCCCTGTAATTTTTTTTTGGTTTATAGGAGAGTCAAACTCGAAAATACCTTGAAAATTTACTATTATTAGTACCGCCCGGTGAAAATGTTTTAAAATATGCTTTGCTATAAAGTTAACTGTTTTTTAAGTTTCTTCGTTAACAAAAATATTCTAATATGTATTTTTCAGATAGCCTTGAGTTGCCACAGAGATCACATGTCTCGGGTTTCGCTACCGTTATTTTTCTGCTATAACTTTACGTTAAAATTATCATTTTATTCATATCAGTTTTATTTAACTCATCTAACTCATATTTACAACGCTATAATACGCACACATTATATTCCAGAACAATGGAAAAAGGCGCAAGTAATTATGTTGCTGTAACCTGGCAACCTTCTTCATATTGGCCAATATCACTCTTACCCAGTATGGCTAAACTCTTAGAAAAGCTTCTTTTAAAGCGCCTCAAACCTTTAATAGAAGAAAAAAAACTTATACCCGATCATCAATTCGGTATTAGAAACAAACATTCAACTATGGACCAAATTCATCGTGTAACAAACGTAATAATTAACGCATTTGAAGAAAAAAATTATTGTTGCGGAGTTTTCCTTGACATAGCCCAGGCTTTTGATAAAGTCTGGCATAAAAGCCCGCTTATAAAACTGCGTGAACAACTACCAAACTCATGGTATACGCTACTCAAGTTCTATTTGACTGAAAGATAGTTCCGCGTAATACATGACGAAGCTTTAACTAATTGGAAAAACANTACCCGATCATCAATTCGGTATTAGAAACAAACATTCAACTATGGACCAAATTCATCGTGTAACAAACGTAATAATTAACGCGTTTGAAGAAAAAAATTATTGTTGCGGAGTTTTCCTTGACATAGCCCAGGCTTTTGATAAAGTCTGGCATAAAAGCCTGCTTATAAAACTGCGTGAACAACTACCAAACTCATGGTGTCGCTACTCAAGTCCTATTTGACTGAAAGATAGTTCCGCGTAATACATGACGAAGCTTTAACTAATTGGAAAAACATAGCAGCTGGAGTTCCACAAGGTAGTGTATTGGGCCCTATATTGTATCTACTTTACACGGTCAAGTGAGAGCTCAGAAAAATGAGCGACAAACACAAAAAAATTATAATATTAATTAAATTTAGTATGAAATTGATATTCAATAATTTAGTATTGCAATTTATTACAATACTAAATTATTGAACAAAAACTGCAATTTGAGGGTAAAATAAGTATTTTGTAAACATTAGAAATAAATGATTTTAATTGTCTGTATGGAGAACATGGTATAACTAACTGTTTAGTTGATAAATTAGAAATTTTTTGCAATTCTTGAGAGTAATATCTTCAACTAGATACAAATTGTAATCATTTGACATATCATTGAAAAAATTGGTCTAGTGAGAGCTCAGAAAAATGAGCGACAAACACAAAAAAATTATAATTGTAATTAAATTTAGTATGAAATTGATATTCAATAAATTAGTATTGCAATTTATACGGAGAAATTATAAAAATAATAAAGTAGTTGTATATTTCTTTACTTTTAACGTGTATACAAATGTAAAGGGATTGATGCAATACTTTTTAATAAAAAAATTTTGTTACTTATGAATAAATACACTGGACTACAAGGAACTTTCATTAGAAGCAAAAATTTTCTTCTCTAAATCTACTTTTGCGCTGTTTTCAAATCTGCAATTAGACTTTTTCTATCACTTCTAATTTTTCATGTAATATCAAATTACATATAAAATAATAATTAAGAGAAAAAAAATTGTTTTCAAATTATAACTGATTTGATTTTTAATATGTTAAAAATAATCAGTCCAAATTTTCATTTTTAACCTATGTTTTTGGTTCTTTAAAGTTAATGAAAAGTTTTTGTGAAAGTTTATCGTAAAAAAAAATTAAATATGTTGCCGTAAATTTATCAGAAAAGCTCAATATTTTTTTGTATTCTAATCGTAAAAGATAACTTAAATAGAAGTAATAGTAATAATTTCCTAGTAACTTTTTTTGTTTGAAAAGATTCTACGATTGAAATATTCAGAACTTAATTAATTTTAATGATTTACTTTAACTAAATGAACCAATGAAAATAAAGGTGTTAAAAAGATTTACTCAATTAAACGTATATAAAATTTTTTTGAAAATCTATCACTTAACCTGCTCATTGGGGGGGATTTAAAATGGAAACTTTTTTACAAAAATTAATTTTTTCAACTTAATTTTTGAAAATGTTCCGGAAAGACTGCGTCCTTTAAACATATATCAAATTAAAGCTTATTTTATGTACTACAAAATGAAAAAAAAAAATTTGTCCCGACACTTTTTTTTCTACATTTAAACGGCTGCCGTAGTTAAAAAAACACTATTTTTGTGTTAAAATTTTCGATTTTNAAGTTTATCGTAAAAAAAAATTAAATATGTTGCCGTAAATATATCAGAAAAGCTCAATATTTTTTTGTATTCTAATCGTAAAAGATAACTTAAATAGAAGTAATAGTAATAATTTCCTAGTAACTTTTTTTGTTTGAAAAGATTCTACGATTGAAATATTCAGAACTTAATTAATTTTAATGATTTACTTTAACTAAATGAACCAATGAAAATAAAGGTGTTAAAAAGATTTACTCAATTGAACGTATATAAAATTTGATTAAAATTGTAAAAATTTATTATTAATTCAGGAGAAACTAACAATCATTTTTTTTAGAAATGATTTATATAGCAACATGTTACCAAAAAATTTGTAAGCACACACAAATAGAGTTAAAAAAATTATCAAATTACAAAGTAAAATGATTTAATTTTGTATTTGAAACCTATCATATCAAACAAGATTCGTCAATAAATAATTTGAAAAAATTATAAATGAATGATTTTAATTGTCTGTATGGAGAACATGTTATAACTAACTGTTTCATTGATAAATTAGAATTTTTTTTCAATTTTTGAGGGTAAAATCTTCAACTNATAAATTAGAATTTTTTTCAATTTTTGAAGGTAAAATCTTCAACCTAGATACGAATTGTAGTCATTTGACGTATCGTTGAAAAAAATAGGTGAAGTTAGAGCAGAGAAAATAAATGATAGTCACAAAAAAATATCTTCTCAACTTTGCATCGAAGCTAAAACTTAAAATTTAGAAAAATAATTTTAATATGAATAAAAATAATTTTCTCGCGAGTGGCGAAAATGCAAAAAATTCATTGCCATACGCGGGTTGGAAACCTCGTACCCCAAGCTTGTAAAACACAAATTTTATCAACGCGGCAACCGTACGTTCCTGTCTGTATAAAAAATTAGCTAATCAAGCTAGTTCAAATTTCAAAGTTAATTTTCACGACTTCAAAATACAAAGAAATTTATAGAAGTTTAACTTTCTATGTTATCTCAAATTTTTATTTATATAATATTTATAAAAGTCTATACTCCCCTTGTCAGGTATTTTAAAATAAAAAAAAATACAAAACCCAGAATTTTAACACAAAAATAGCATATCTTTGAATACGGTAGTCATTTTTACCATGAAGACAAATCCAGAGGTAAATTTTTTTTTTCAAATAAAGCATATTACATAAGCTTTAATTTAAGATATACAGAGTGGCCCACCACTCACTGACAACTTAAATAACTTTTGATCCAGTTAATATTTTTAGTTGATTTGTTTTTAAAATAATAGTTATTCGTTAGGTCTATATCTCAATAATTAATTTTTTTACATTTTATTAAAAATATTAATTATTTTTAAATTTTAAATAAAATGTAAAAAAAATCTAAGATAGCTATTTTGTAGAGTAGAATTTATGAAAAATTTTAGTAAAAAAATATCTTATTAATATTCAGTAGTAAATATTCTGTAGCGTTTTGAAGTTTGTGAAAATTTGAATTTTCATGTACTATTTTACGGTATTAAACATTGAAATACGTATTGAGAAAAGGACAGAAGAAAACGCTATCTTTTCAATATACTTTTGAATGAGAGTGATAAGTAATAATTGCCTTATCTAATTTCTTATCATGGTATTTATGCCAAGTTTGTAATGTATACACACTATCATCATATGTATACACAGTAATCATGAAAAGATAGCGTTTTCTTCTGTCCTTTTCTCAATACGTATTTCAATGTTTAATACCGTAAAATAGTACATGAAAATTCAAATTTTCACAAACTTCAAAACGCTACAGAATATTTACTACTGAATATTAATAAGATATTTTTTTACTAAAATTTTTCTTAAATTCTACTCTACAAAATAGCTATCTTAGATTTTTTTTTTACATTTTATTTAAAATTTAAAAATAATTAATATTTTTAATAAAATGTAAAAAAATTAATTATTGAGATATAGCTATAGACCTAACGTATAACTATTATTTAAAAAAAAAATCAACTAAAAATATTAACTGGATCAAAAGTTATTTAAGTTGTCAGTAAGTGGTGGGCCACCCTGTATATAAAAGTGTCAGTATTTCTTGAACACTTCAAGAATTAAATTGAAAATGTCCTAGTTTCAATACGCCTGTTTAAAGTTTTGACCTCCCTTGAATAAAGGGGTATAATCCGATTTACAAAAAAAGCGTGTCAGATGAAAGGTGTATATAAAAATTTACTATAAAAAATAATTATATTGATCCATACATTTTTACAAAAGTTATTTAAAATATAAATTAAATAATATAAAATATAAAATCGAGAATTTATTTCATGGAAATCATACGATTTTCTTTAACTTTGATGTCCATTTTCACCACGAAGACAAGTCAAGAGGTCAAATTTTTTTTTTCAAATTAAAGTATATTACATTACCTTTAATTTAAGATATTTATAAAAGTGTCAGATCTTTCAGTTCACTTTCAAAAATTAAGTTGAAAAAGTTAATTTTTTGTAAAAAAGTTACCATTTGGAAACCCCTTCTTTTGGTCTTTTCAAGGGTCAAATGTTAACAAAAATATATATAATGATAGGTGAATATCTAAGGTATCTATAAAAAAAAAAAAAATTATATTGATTCGGTAATTTTTAAAAAAGTTATGGCAATTTTAAGTAAAAAAAATTTTAAAAATGAAATAACATCGATTTACCGGTTCCGTAAGTGGGACATTGTAAATAAATCCATTTGTAAAGCTAATTGCTAGATACATAACAATGAAAAAGTAAAAATTCATTTTTGGCTTTACAAATCGGTGTCCTGGAATAAAACTGAAAACTTGAAATGATAGATTAATTGATATTTTATTTATTTTATAACAATACCATGTTTTTTTAGTGTAAAAACGCCATCTTTTTAAATATATTTAAAGTATTTTTATAATAGCAATATTAAGCTTTTAATAAATTTAATATTGCTGTCAATATTTGATAATACTTATTTAAAAATAAGTAAACATTACATTTATGATATGTGCAGAATCGTTTAGCTTCGATGCGAAGCTCAGAAGGTATTAATTTTACTATAATGTTTTCTTTTTTATTTTTTTTTTCTCAGCTCTCACTGGACCGATTTTGTTGAAAAATATGTCAAAAGATCGCATATTGTATCTAGTCGAAGACATTACCCTCGTATACCGTAAATGAGGGAAATCTCCAAAAAAATTACAAATTTAATATTCGCTAATTTTCGATATTTTTCAAATTTTTTTTACTTAAAATTGCCATAACTTTTTTTAAAATGATCGAATCAATATAATTTTTTTTTTTATAGATACCTTAAATATTTACCTATCATTTTATATATTTTTGTGAACATTTTACCCTTTAACAGCCCACAGGAAGGGTTTCAAAATGGTAGCTTTTTTACAAAAAATTAACTTTTTCAACTTAACTTTTGAAAATGTTCCGGAAAGAATGACACTTTTATATATATCTTAAATTAAAGCTTATGTAATATACATTGATTTGAAAAAAAAAAATTTGACCTCTGGACTTGTCTTCGTGGTGAAAACTGACATCAAAGTTAAAGAAGAACGTACGATTTCCGTGAAAAAATTCTCGATTTTATATTTTATATAACATTTGGAAAAATGTATGGATCAATATTATTATTTTCGTATAATAAATATTTATATAACCCTTTCATCTGCCACGCTTCTTTTGTANAAAATGACCAAATCAATATAATTTTTTTTCCTATAGATACCTTAGATATTTACCTATTATTTTATGTATTTTTGTGGACATTTTACCCTTTAACAGCCCACAGGAAGGGTTTCAAAATGGTAACTTTATTACAAAAAATTAACTTTTTCAACTTAACTTTTGACAATGTTCCAGAAAGAATGACACTTTTATATATATCTTAAATTAAAGCTTATGTAATAAAAATTGATTTGAAAAAAAAAATTTGACCTCTGGACTTGTCTCCGTGGTGAAAACTGACATCAAAGTTAAAGAAGAACGTACGATTTCCTTGAAAAAATTCTCGATTTTATATTTTATATAACATTGGAAAAATGTATGGATCAATATTATTATTTTCGTATAATAAATATTTATATAACCCTTTCATCTGCCACGCTTCTTTTGTAAATCGGATCATACCCCTTTAACAAGGGGGGTCAAAACTTTAAACATGCTTATTTGACCTCTGGACTTTTTTTAGATTCAATAACTTCAATAAAGATCAAGGATCCCATCACTGTTATCGCCACTCGCGAGAAAATTATTTTTATTCATATTAAAATTATTTTTCTAAATTTTAAGTTTTAGCTTCGATGCAAAGTTGAGAAGATATTTTTTTGTGACTATCATTTATTTTCTCTGCTCTAACTTGACCTATTTTTTTCAACGATACTTCAAATGACTACAATTCGTATCTAGTTGAAGATTTTACCCTCAAAAATTGAAAAAAAATTCTAATTTATCAATGAAACAGTTAGTTATAACATGTTCTCCATACAGACAATTAAAATCATTCATTTATAATTTTTTCAAATTATTTATTGACGAATCTTGTTTGATATGATAGGTTTCAAATACAAAATTAAATCATTTTACTTTGTAATTTGATAATTTTTTTAACTCTATTTGTGTGTGCTTACAAATTTTTTGGTAACATGTTGCTATATAAATCATTTCTAAAAAAAATGATTGTTAGTTTCTCCTGAATTAATAATAAATTTTTACAATTTTAATCAAATTTTATATACGTTCAATTGAGTAAATCTTTTTAACACCTTTATTTTCATTGGTTCATTTAGTTAAAGTAAATCATTAAAATTAATTAAGTTCTGAATATTTCAATCGTAGAATCTTTTCAAACAAAAAAAGTTACTAGGAAATTATTACTATTACTTCTATTTAAGTTATCTTTTACGATTAGAATACAAAAAAATATTGAGCTTTTCTGATAAATTTACGGCAACATATTTAATTTTTTTTTACGATAAACTTTCTCAAAAACTTTTCATTAACTTTAAAGAACCAAAAAAATAGTTTAAAAATGAAAATTTGGACTGATTATTTTTAACATATTAAAAATCAAGTCAGTTATAATTTGAAAACAATTTTTTTTTCTCTTAATTATTATTTTATATGTAATTTGTTACCAATTTTTTCAATGATATGTCAAATGATTACAATTTGTATCTAGTTGAAGATATTACTCTCAAGAATTGCAAAAAATTTCTAATTTATCAACTAAACAGTTAGTTATACCATGTTCTCCATACAGACAATTAAAATCATTTATTTCTAATGTTTACAAAATACTTATTTTACCCTCAAATTGCAGTTTTTGTTCAATAATTTAGTATTGCAATAAATTGCAATACTAAATTATTGAATATCAATTTCATACTAAATTTAATTACTATTATAATTTTTTTGTGTTTGTCGCTCATTTTTCTGAGCTCTCACTAGACCAATTTTTTCAATGATATGTCAAATGATTACAATTTGTATCTAGTTGAAGATATTACTCTCAAGAATTGCAAAAAATTTCTAATTTATCAACTAAACAGTTAGTTATACCATGTTCTCCATACAGACAATTAAAATCATTTATTTCTAATGTTTACAAAATACTTATTTTACCCTCAAATTGCAGTTTTTGTTCAATAATTTAGTATTGCAATAAATTGCAATACTAAATTATTGAATATCAATTTCATACTAAATTTAATTACTATTATAATTTTTTTGTGTTTGTCGCTCATTTTTCTGAGCTCTCACTAGACCAATTTTTTCAATGATATGTCAAATGATTACAATTTGTATCTAGTTGAAGATATTACTCTCAAGAATTGCAAAAAATTTCTAATTTATCAATGAAACAGTTAGTATCAAAGCAATACAGTTTCATGTCACATTCAAGAAATTATTGATGTGTTAAATGAAATATTATATACTACACATGATCCGCTAATTAAAAATTACAATAATTCATTAAATTCGGAGATTAGTACAATAGAAATCCTTATGAGTTTATATATTTGGTATAAAGTATTTGTATACTACAGCAGAGTAGTCAAAGAATCAACAATATCTATTGATGTAATTAACTTTATGAAGAAAAGTAATGGAACTTTTCCGAACTTAGTCATTGCTCCTAGGATTTTTTTATGAGTCTCAATAACTTAATCTACTACAGAACTCAGAATAAATACAAGAAATAAAATTTGAGTGTTGAAAATTACGTAGTTTGTGGATTTTCCATAATACGCAAATTGTAAATTTTGTAAATTCTATAAGTAGCGTTAAAATTATTTCTCCATCATAAAATGTTCACCAGACGTTTTAATTGCCTAAAGGAAAGTACTATGTAAATTTGAAAAAAATTCGTTCAGTCACTTTTGTGTAATGAGATGATAAAGTTGGCTATTTTTAGCAAACCTTGCGTGTTTAAGACCGTAAAACGATACAAAAAAAATTACAATATATATATATTTTATTATATTTATAAATATATTTGTTTATATTTACGGGACAAACCCAAGTTATAACTAAAAGTTTAGAATTGATTATTCATAATATCAAGTTTTAGTTGGTATCAAAATTTAATAACGGTTGTTTAACAAAACAAACTCAATATAAACTTTTTAAATTACGTCATTCATAATTTAATTTTGAATCTGCCAGAATATAATGACAAATTTGCAAAATTAATAATTTTAATAAAAAAATATCATAAATAGGAATAGAGCAAACAGTGACGGAATGTCTGAATACAATATTGTATTTCTCAAGAATAAACATTCATAGAACACGTATACAATGATTCTTTTTTTTAATACTGTCGACGCAGTGTAATTGAAAATACTTTAAAAATATATTTATCAACACATACACGTATACATAAATTAATTATTTATATATACACACAAGTGTAAATCACTTATTCTAGTAATTTATAAATAAAATAGTCTTTATTAAATACGTTAAAATCATTAATTTGAAAAATAATTTCTAATACGATAAAATCATGAATATTTAGCTAAGATAATTTAACATTTTCTGATTAAGATAAAATTTTAAATGTATACGTTATTGTTTAATAATAACGTTTATATTAATTATATATAAAGATATATTTTATTTTTTATATGAAACTCATTTACTATAACTGAGAATAATATAATTTTTTTCTATATGCGTTTCTGTAAAATTAAGAAAATTTTGATGTTATTTTCTGAGTAGTCGTATCCCGTTCATTGAGGTTTACAGTCACTTCATTTAAAGAGGTTTTTTTGATAAGATATAGCAAATAAATTTGAAATTATAAATTGAACGTATTAGACAAAATTTTTATTTTGAATGCTGTCCTGGTTCTTTGTCCCGTGCCTTATGATAATACCCTTCTTGTACATAGACTATCATAGTTAACAATTTTTAGGTGTTCAGGTCCCCTTAAAGTTTCAATAGTCCTTCTCAAATTGATGATTTGTTTGTATTGTTATCAGAAATTAACCCCCCAAGTCATTTTACTGTATTAGTTTATTATAGCTCCCATAAAAATTTTACAAAATTTCTACCTATACAATATATTTTAGGTTTTTTATAATTTAATAACTTAGTTTGAAAAATATCTAGCACACTTGAGAAGACCAAAATAAGTGTTTCAATCTCTATTATCATCATTTTCTTAGCTATAGACTAAAAAGTGAAAACAGTTTTAGTAATTTTATAAATTGTGATGAGTATGTTTTAATTTTTTGTATCAAACGGAAAATTTATTTTCTTTATAAAACATCAATTTTTAAGAATAAATAGGGAATAAAAGTGTACATATTCACAAT